TGCAGCCATCATTGTTGTTTGGCGGTCCTGGGCTGGGGATTCGAACCCGCCACCTTAGAGGTGTATGTGGCTGGCACCTTAGCCGCTTGAGCCACAGGCGCCGAGCCAATGTTCATTCTTGACTCAGAGTAATTTGAAGGTTTTCAGAGAACACCAAAATCACAAACAACAAAAGAAGAAAAATTAATTAGACTTCATCAAAATTAAAAACAAGACAGCTGAAGGTCAGTGGGTAGGGTGCTGGCCCCATATAACAAGGATGGCAGGTTTAAACCCAGTCCCAGCCAAACAGCAACAAAAAATAGCTGGGCACTGGGGCAGGTGCCTGTAGTCCCAGCTACTCAGGAAGCTGAGGCAAGAGAATCGCCTAAGCCCAGGAGTCAGAGGTTGCTGTGAGCTATGATGCCACGTTACTCTACCAAGGGCGATAAAGTGAGACTCTGTCTCTAAAAAAAAAAAAAATACTATCAAGAAAGTGGAGGAGAGCAGCGCCCGTAGCTCAGTAGGCAGGACACCGCACACATACACCCAGGCTGGCAGGTTTGAACTTGGCCAGGCCAGCTAAACAATGACAACTGCAACAAAAAAATAGCTGGGTGTTGTGGCAGGTACCTGTAGTTCCAGCTACTTGGGAGGCTAAGGCAGGAGAATCGCTTAAGCCCAAGAGTTTGAGGTTGCTATGAGCTATGATGCCTCAACACTCTACCAAGGGCGACATAGTGAGACTCTGTCTCAAAAAAAGAAAGAAAGAAAAAGAAATAAGAAAGTGGAGGGGAACAGAATATTTATAATTTCACCAGGTGCAGTGGCTCACGCCTGTAATCCTAGCACTCTGGGAGGCCGAGGCAAGTGGACCTCCTGAGCCCAGGAGTTTGAGACCAGCCTGAGCCAGAGCAAGACTCTGTCTCTACTAAACATAGAAAAACTAGCCAGGCACTATGGCAAGGACCTGTAGTCCCTGCTCCTTGGGAGGCTGAGGCAGAGAGGATTGGTTAAGCCCAAAAGTTTTAGGTTGCCGTGAGCTATGATGCCATAGCACTCTATCCAAGGTGTAGTGAGACTCTGTCTCAAAACAAACAAAAAACTAATATTTGCAACTTACATGTATGATAAATCATACAGATTTCTTAACTGTGGGATTATTTAGAGGCTTAACTATAAAGCATATGCACTGTGACTCTCCAAAAGAGATGGTAGATTTCTCTAACTAGATGGGCCTCTTTTTTTTTTTTTTTTTTGCAGTTTTTGACTGGGGGTTGGGTTTGAACCCGCTACCTCCCTCTGCATATGGGGCCGAGCCCTACTCCTTTGAGGCACAGGCACCGCCCCACATGGGCCTCCTAACTCAGAATTGACTGGCCTCAGAGCAGTCTCTGGGGCAATGCTGATAGAAATAACAAAGGCCCAGAGAGGTTTTTTTGTTTTTTGGTTTTTGGGGGGGTTTTTTTGCAGTTTTTTTGGTGGGGGCTGGCTTGAATCCGCCACACCTGGTATATGGGGCCGGCACCTACTCCTTGAGCCACAAGTGCCTCCCCAAAGGCCCAAAGAGGTTAACTGGCCTAGGATCACAAGACTAGGTGGTAGCAGAGCCATTATCTGGAATGCCACAGTCCTGACAGAGTCTAATTTAAAGGAAAATCTCCCCTTAAGTGTCACTCATTGCAAAGACCTCTCTCCTTTCAGTCAGATAAGGGGCATTACCTGCAAAGAAATAGAAATGGCCAATAACAACAAGAAAAATGTGCAATACCACTAGTCATTAGGGAAATGCAAATCAAAAGCAAAAGGAGAAACTACCTGACACCTACTAGCATAGCTATAATAAAAAAAGACAGACAGGCTCAGCATCTGTAGCTCAGCAGCTAGGGCGCTAGCCACATACACAGGACCTGTCGGGTTCGAATCCAGCCCAGGCCTGCCAAACAACGACAACTACAACTTTAAAATAGCTGGGCATTGTGGCGGGCGCCTGTAGTCCCAGCTACTTGGGAGGCAGAGGCAAGATAATCACCTGAGCCCAGGAGTTGGAGGTTGCTGAGAGCTGTGATGTCACAGCACTCTACCCAGGGGGTACTTTTTTTGTACTGATATATGCCACAACATGGATGAAGTTTTTGTTGTTGTTTATTTTTTGAGACAGAGTCTCACTATATTGCCCTCTGTGGTGTCCTCCCACATAGCTGGGACTACAGGTGCTCGCCACAATGCCCAGCTATTTTTTTGCTGCAGTTGTCTCTGTTTAGCTGGCCCAGGCTGGGTTTGAAACTGCCAGCCTCAGTGTTATGTGGCTGGCACTATAACCACTGTGCTACGGTTGCCGAGCCAACATGGATGAACTTTTAAAACATTATACTACGTAAAAGAAATCAGTCACAAAAGATCACATGATGTACAATTTCATTTATAGGAAATGTCTAGAACAGGCAAATCCATAGAAACACAATGGATATCAGTGGTTACCAGGGACCGGAAGAGGGAGAGTGGGGAATGAATGCCAATGGCTATGGAGTGGAGTTTCCTTCTGGGGTGATGAAAATGTTCTGAAATTAAGATAGTGATGTTACGCGGTGACTCACTCCTATAATTCCAGCATTTGGGAGGCTGAGGCAGGTGGATTGCTGGGGCTCACAGTTTGGAGACCAGCCTGAGCCAGAGTGGAGATCTCTCTAAAAAGAGCCGGGCATTGTGGCGGGTACCTGTAGTCCCAGCTATTTGGGAGGCTGAGGCAAGAGAATCACTTAAACTCAGGAGTTTGAGGTTGCTGTGAGCTATGATGGCACAGCCCTCTACCATGGGTGATAGAGTAAGACCCTGTCTCAAAAAATAAAAAAGATAGTGATGTTAGTGGCCCAACCTTATGAATATACTATAAACCATTGAATTATACCCTTAAGAAGGGTGAATTTTACAGCCCATGAATTATATCTTAATAAAATTGTTAATTTTTTTTTAAGTCTCAAAAACCATCCTCCTCTCAGAACAGGAAGTGCCAACTGGAGGCTGGGAACAGATATCAGGGAGCCCCCCCCCCCCCATAGAGTACACTGTGTGCTGAGAGCAAACAGACCCGCATGTGGTCTAGCTCTGTGGGTGGGGTGGTAACAACCTCCTCACACCTGACACACAGCACTCCTTCTCAGCAGCAGCAACACTCCCACCTCCCTCACTCAAGAGGGCACAACAGTGTGCAAATAATAACAGCA